GGTGGTGATGTTACGGCCAGGATGTGTAGTGACGGTGGTGGTGATGTTACGGCCAGGATGTGTAGTGACGGTGGTGGTGTTACGGCCAGGATGTGTAGTGACGGTGGTGGTGGTGTTACGGCCAGGATGTGTAGTGACGGTGGTGGTGGTGGTGGTGGTGTTACGGCCAGGATGTGTAGTGACGCTGTTGATAGACCAGTTTGTCCTCCTAAGGTCTCCCAAAGTCAAGAAAACGGCCAGTTAAAAGTGGTCTCTCCTAACCTACCAGAGGACCCAAAACAGAAAACGAGAGAGTACGTCACTTTCGCCAGCCGCTTCCCATTTTCTAGTACGACAATTTTTTTTTAGCCTTATGTAACGCATACGATCGAAAAGCGACGTTCTCTGCCGGAGAACAAGTCGCAGCACCCACGCCTTGCAACACAGCGTGGCCATGTCCACGTAACTAGCAAAGTTCAATCACTCCACGTGATTAAACTACCACAAGGGGGTGGGACGGGGGGAAAGGAATGGTGCCCAACCACTTGGACGGTCGGGGATTGAACCCGCATGAAGCGAGACCGTCGCTCTACCGTCCAGCCCAAGTAGTTGGACTAAACTACCATTTGTCTTCCAGACAAAAGTTTCTTTTGAAATTACACGAAAATTAAGACCAATTAATTAGTTAGGACAAATAAAAATGGTCTTAATTAAAAATTGACAACTTGTCTTAATTAAAATTAAGACAATATCCGCAGCTGTGAGGTACAATACCCGCAGCTGTGAGGTACAATACCCGCAGCTGTGAGAGGTACAATACCCGCAGCTGTGAGGTACAATACCCGCAGCTGTGAGGTACAATACCCGCAGCTGTGAGGTACATTACCCGCAGCTGTGAGAGGTACAATACCCGCAGCTGTGAGAGGTACAATACCCGCAGCTGTGAGAGGTACATTACCCGCAGCTGTGAGAGGTACAATACCCGCAGTTGTGAGGTACAATACCCGCAGCTGTGAGAGGTACAATACCCGCAGCTGTGAGGTACAATACCCGCAGCTGTGAGAGGTACATTACCCGCAGCTGTGAGAGGTACAATACCCGCAGCTGTGAGGTACAATACCCGCAGCTGTGAGGTACAATACCCGCAGCTGTGAGATACAATATCCGCAGCTGTGAGGTACAATACCCGCAGCTGTGAGAGGTACAATACCCGCAGCTGTGAGGTACAATACCCGCAGCTGTGAGGTACAATACCCGCAGCTGTGAGAGTTACAATACCCGCAGCTGTGAGGTACAATACCCGCAGCTGTGAGGTACAATACCCGCAGCTGTGAGAGGTACAATACCCGCAGCTGTGAGGTACAATACCCGCAGCTGTGAGAGGTACAATACCCGCAGCTGTGAGGTACAATACCCGCAGCTGTGAGAGGTACAATACCCGCAGCTGTGAGGTACAATACCCGCAGCTGTGAGAGGTACAATACCCGCAGCTGTGAGGTACAATACCCGCAGCTGTGAGAGGTACAATACCCGCAGCTGTGAGGTACAATACCCGCAGCTGTGAGGTACAATACCCGCAGCTGTGAGGTACAATACCCACAGCTGTGAGGTACAATACCCGCAGCTGTGAGAGGTACAATACCCGCAGCTGTGAGGTACAATACCCACAGCTGTGAGGTACAATACCCGCAGCTGTGAGAGGTACAATACCCGTAGCTGTGAGGTACGGTACAATACCCGCAGCTGTGAGGTACAATACCCGCAGCTGTGAGGTACAATACCCACAGCTGTGAGAGGTACAATACCCATAGCTGAGAGAGGTACAATACCCACAGCTGAAACAGTGTTCCAGCAACACTGAGAGCTTCGCCGTTCCATTTAAGCAAACACGTTCAGTGTTGCAGCAACACTTCTCCAAACGTGCCAAGACAGTGTGGTGGGAAGGAACTGAACACATTGTGCAAGTGGGGAAGAGAAGGAGCCTGAAATGTGTGTGAACACGAACATAAGAGAGTGCCTGAAAAAAATATAATCTGGAATATGTATGGTGAATATAAATAGGTTCGAGGCTTTGTGAGGGAAAAATAGAAAAGTTTGGAAATGTGTGATGAAAGAAGCAAAGAAAACCCGGATCTTCTCAAGAGAAAGAAAAAAAAAATTATCTGGAATATATTGGGTATAAGAAAAATGTCTAGATCTCATAAAATAAAAGACTTTTTATATTTTTTTTCACAATACAATATATTTAAATTCTAATATTGGCACTAGACGTTTTAATGGACGAGGTTTAATATCTTTTGAATCTCAAGAAAATGCCCAACTTGTTTAAGATAATCTTGACAAGCACTGATATATGGAGAGTTCCAGAACAGCTCGGATGTGATTGTGATGCCAAGGATAATGATGGATATAACTGTGATGCCAAGGATAATGATGGATATAACTGTGATGCCAAGGATAATGTTGCGTTTGTGATACCAATTACAAATAACGAGGAGATTGTGATGCCAAGATTCGAGTCGTGAGCACCATTGCTAATCAGCCCAAAACTGCCGTAAGGCAACTGAGTTGACAGCTGTACACCGTAGAGTGAGAGTGGGAGATGAAGGGAAACCCTGATATATGTGAGAGAAGGCGGCAGGAAATGGGATCCAGAACGATAAAAGGTGAAAGTGGAACATGTGGGCGGGAAGTAAACTGGAATATAGGGTCTGGAATCGTCTGTAATGATTTCTTTATGTGAATCAAGCCAGATACGAAGCGTATGGGAAAATAAATCTCTGGTTAGAAGCTTTATATGGAACACAAAAGAGGGTTTTATTTGTGTGAGAGGGGGGGGGGGGGAGCGTTGATAAAGGAGACCATTCACCTGGGCTGTGTGGGTCTCGAACCCTGGGCCTCAGGTGTGTGTGTAGATGACAAAGTTTACTGGTAATGGAGTCCGACTTCACGCCCCTCACAGTGACTCTTGGACTCCTTTGGTATGAACAAATCCACAAGGGCCGTGACGAGGATTCGAACCTGCGTCAGAGATCAACGCTGCCTTTATCGACTGAGCCACGACATGGCCATACTCCTTTGGTATATTCTCTTACTCATGTCAGTGCTGTGTCACTCATATCTGCCTGGCTCTGAACTATATCTAGTGGTCTCTTGTGTTGTACTGTGTCAAAGGATTCCTGGCAGCCCAGAAATAGATAGGCTGCCCAACCATTCCCGTCATGTCATGCTTTGTTATTTTTGTCGTAGAACTCCAGTACTCACCTAGTTATGTTTTCGGGGGTTGAACTTCGGCTCTTTAGCCCCAACCTCTCAATCTACTGATGAGCAGGGACCTGAGCTTAATGAGTTATAGTGTGTGTGTGTGTGTGTGTGTGTGTGTGTGTGTGTGTGAGTGTGTGTGTGTGAGTGTGTGTGTGTGTGTGTGTGTGTGTGTGTGTGTGTGTGTGTGTGTGTGTGTGTGTGTGTGTGTGTGTGTGTGTGTGTGTGAGAGAGTGTGTGAGAGTGTACTCACCTGGATGTGCTTGCAGGGGGTCAAACTAAGCTCCTAACCTCGCTTTCCGAACATAGATTAATGCAATGACTCCATTTCCACGTTTTTATCATATTCACATTTAAAACCTTTAATCGAATTACCTTCAAAGACGTCTACATCTAACCTATTCCCCTTGTTGGCAGCTCTAACACTGAAAAAGTTCTTGAAGATGTTTCTGTCACTCATATGTGTATCTAATATGTGTATGTGTGTATTTACTAAGTGTATTTACTATGTGTACCTGCAGAATCAAGCTATTAGATCTTGGACCCCGCCTTTCTAACCAATCTATTTTTCCTCTACTATATGTACTACATATATTTCTCTCTAACACACACACACACACACACACACACACACACACACACACACACACACACACACACACACACACACATTAGCAACCCCAGTTCAGTTGAGAGGCGGGTCGAAAGAGCAGAGCTCAACCCCCGCAAGCACAACTAGGTGAATACAACTAGGTAAATACACACATCCCCCAGGAAGCAGCCCGTAGCATCTGTTTAACTCCCAGGTACCTATTTTCTGCTAGGTAAACAGAGGCATCAGGGCGAAAGAAACTCTGCCCATTTTTTTCAGCCTCGGTCGGGAGTCGAACCCGGGTCCTTAGGACTACGACCCCCAAGCGCTGTCCACTCTGAGGAGTGTGTGTACTTACCTATTTGTGCTTGCGGGGGTTGAGCTTTGGCTCTTTGGTCCCGCCTCTCAGCTGTCAATCAACTGGAGTACAGATTCAGGTGTGTGTGTGTACTCACCTAGTTGTGCTGTGTGTGTGTGTGTGTGTGTGTGTGTGTGTGTGTGTGTGTGTGTTTGCTCAAACGCATTAATCAACAAGCTCCACAAAGTTAACATTCACTACTATAAGAACAGACAAACACATACAACAATAATAAATGTATAGAAAGACACTTATTTGCTACTTTTCCTTTAAAAAATAACAAAGAAATGTCAATTTTTCATTAAAAACTGAGCTAGAACAAGAATTAATATAAAAAAATATTAATGTTAACAATATGGATAAAGAGAGCAACACTAAAATCAATAATACGTTTGAAGAGCTTTTAGGAGCGGGATAAAAAAACAAGAGACAAAAGAGAAGCGATTCCCCAGCACCAGGAACAGCTGGTAGGAAGTTGGATCCCAAATCAACACTACCAGACCCAACACAAACACTGATAACCTGGGCTGGTAAAGTCTGGCTTCAGCTGTAGCAGGTTAGTCGAAGGTAAGAGGGACACATATACTCGTACGGCGGCACGCACGCACGCACGCACGCACACACACACAGCAGTAAATAGGTACCTGGGAGTTAGTCAGCTGTCACGGGCTCCTTCCTGGTGTGTGTGTGTGTGTGTGTGTGTGTGTGTGTGTGTGTGTGTGTGTGTGTGTGTGTGTGTGTGTGTGTGTGTGTGTGTGTGTGTGTGTGTGTTTTGGGGGAAAAAAGTAGTTAGTAAACAGTTGATTGACAGTTGAGAGGCGGGCCGAAAGAGCAGAGCTCAACCCCCGCAAGCACAACTAGGTGAGTACACACACACACACACAGTGTCAGAGTAGAAAGTAAATGGAATGCATTAGGCAGTGATGTGGTGGAGTCTGACTCCATACACAGTTTCAAATGTAGATATGATAGAGCCCAGTAGGCTCAGGAACCTGTACACCAGTTGATTGACAGTTGAGAGGCGGGACCAAAGAGCCAGAGCTCAACCCCCGCAAGCACAACTAGATAAGTACACACATAATACTGCGTTACTATAATAAAAAAAAGGAAAAAATAAGACAGGACAGAGAAGCTCGAGCAGATTGCGTATTTCTGGACTGCCAAAAAGTCTTAGACACAGTAATGCACAAGAGATCACTACATACACTTAAGAGGCAGGCGGAAGTGAAGGACAAGAAACAAATAAAGAGAATAACTAACACACAGGAGCCAGAGTCCCATGGATTCACTCGCACAATACACAGGATTGCTGTGAATGACTTGAATGACAGGACGACAGAAAAAAATAGACTACTTGTCCATTCAATAACCGAGAAGAGTTATAATAGATGTTTGCATATAATGCAACGTGATTGCCTTATAAACACTAAAATATTTTATAAATATTTAAGCTAATTTTTCCCGGATTTCCCGCCAAGTGACGTCATGGTTGGATTATTAATTCTTTCAGCCAATCGGAGACCAGCACTCGCGGCAGTCAGCGACCCGCAGTGAGGCGAGAAATACTGCAAGGGAAAACTTTGTGTTAACTTAATGAGAAGATATGAGAGGCGCGTCTTGTAAGATTAGCCAAGATGAGTCAGATAACCCGCAGAGTTGGTCGGAGAAATGGCTACTGAACTTCAACACCAACAAGTGTAAGATGATGGAAATAGGAACACTAGGTGACATAAGACCAGGTGCAGGACCTAGTGATTGACCGGGCACGAGAAGAAAAAAGACCTGAGGGTAGATATAACTATAAGATATGATGTTAGGTGGTCTTATTAGCAGCAAAAAATATGAAATATTTACCCCGGATTGTCCAAATTAAATAACACAAAAGTCTACTTTCTTGTGGTCCATCTTGAGGTTATCTTGAGATGATTTCGGATTGAGATGATTTTTAAAGTCCCCGCGGCCCGGTCCTCGACTAGGCCTCCACCCCCAGGAAGCAGCCCGTGACAGCTGACTAACACCCAGGTACCTATTTACTGCTCGGTAACAGGGGCATAGGGTGAAAGAAAACTCTGCCCATTGTTTCTCGCCGGCGCCTGGGATCGAACCCAGGACCACAGGATCACAAGTCCAGCGTGCTGTCCGCTCGGCCGACCGGCTCCCTCGCTCGGCCGACAGGCTCCCTAATGATAATGGCTCCATAATGATATATATTTGTACTTCCGGTCACACACTTGACGTAAGTACTTAGCAACACTTAAGGAGGCGAGGCAGCACACACGGGGGATCTTCACGGGTACTAAACTCATCAATAAGGAAGATAATGTTAGGAGGTTCCTCCCGATAATTACTTACACTGACCCATCACACACAAGTAGTTTTATATAATCCTTTTTACCAGGTGTGAGAAAATGTATATATGGTAGAGAAGTAAATATGTGTGTGTCCAACGGGAGGGGGGGGGGGGGATCTGAGGCTGTCAGCGTGGGCGTCAGGTGCAGTAATTTGTGGCGCCGTAGTTACTGAAGGAATGGTCTCACCCATGGTGGGGTGGGGGTGGGTGTGGCGGGGTGAGGCAGGGTGTACTGGGGTGAGGCAGGGTGTACTGGGGTGAGGCAGGGTGTACTGGGGTGAGGCAGGGTGTACTGGGGTGAGGCAGGGTGTACTGGGGTGAGGCAGGGTGTACTGGGGTGAGGGAGGGTGTACTGGGGTGAGGGAGGGTGTACTGGGGTGAGGCAGGGTGTACTGGGGTAAGGCAGGGTGTACTGGGGTAAGGCAGGGTGTACTGGGGTGAGGCAGGGTGTACTGGGGTGAGGGAGGGTGTACTGGGGTAAGGCAGGGTGTACTGGGGTGAGGCAGGGTGTACTGGGGTGAGGCAGGGTGTACTGGGGTGAGGCAGGGTGTACTGGGGTGAGGCAGGGTGTACTGGGGTGAGGCAGGGTGTACTGGGGTGAGGCAGGGTGTACTGGGGTGAGGCAGGGTGTACTGGGGTAAGGCAGGGTGTACTGGGGTGAGGCAGGGTGTACTGGGGTGAGGGAGGGTGTAGTGGGGTGAGGCAGGGTGTACTGGGGTGAGGCAGGGTGTACTGGGGTGAGGCAGGGTGTACTGGGGTGAGGCAGGGTGTACTGGGGTGAGGCAGGGTGTACTGGGGTAAAGCAGCGTGTGTTGAGAGTAAGTCAGAGACCTCAGCCTGTCTCTCCCTTATAAACTTACACCAAACTGTAAGCATCACCAAGAAAGTAGTAATCTGGTCTCAACTTACGGACGAAAGGACGTGAATATGTCAGATAAGTTTTTGTCATTAAGTTCCTTC